ACCAATGGGTTTTTGCTAGTATAAAGTATTCATAACGTTATGATCATACCATACTGGATTTTGGGGTTCAAACAAAATCAGCGCATATGTATGCAAATTAACATGTTTACTTAATGCACCAGTCCCGGTTTGATTAATAAAATTTTGAACTACATAAGACGTAACATTTCCGATTATTAAAATGATCATCAGGTGGTCGGATATTTATGGTAGTAGTAGGTGAGTTTAGGTGTCATAACAATAGGTTACAACTCGGCAATATGTTTGCACCCTTAGTTTGTTATACGGAATATTATACAAATTTGTTATAACAAAATTTTTTATTTAATAAAAAAAAGTAGGGATAGGATTTTGTTCGGTATAACAAAAATCCGTTATAATGAGATTTGACTGTAAAAAGTATTGTAAATGCTTTCTCGAAATCACTGGTTATTTTAACTGACAGTTCAAAAGTTAAATAACTGTCATTGCCAACATTGTTTACATCTAACAAGGTTGTGGAGTATTGTTTTTATGATCAGATTGAAATGTCTTTGCTAATAATTAATTTTAATTTTATTAAATTGTCTTAAAAAATATTTTCCTTTGATTTTAAATATTTTAAATATTTTTTAATTTTTGTTTGAAAATTTTTTGGGTTTCAATTTCCAAGCTTGAGTTCTTTTACGAATTCTAGGTTTTTTCGATTCTTTAGTTGCTCGTTCTCCTTCCAATAAACGTTTATTGGTTATTTTTTTTTGCATTTTATTATTATTCCTATTACTATTTTTTTTAAAATTTGAATGATTTTTTATGACATTACTATTGTTGTTAGTTTTCTTCGCATGTCTTGTTACTCGAATTTTACGCTTGCCAAGTTTTGTATCATTAAGTTTCAAGGCAAGTTCAACAGATCCACAATCCTATATTTACAATATAAGTATAATAGATCTAAATATATATATGTATGTATGTATGTATGTGTATATATATATTCTCACCTTAAATTGTATATAAGCAAAACCTTTACCCAAATTAGTTTTAGCATCTCTAACAATCCTAACATAATCAATATCACCACAATTTTTAAAATGTTGCCATAATTCTTCCTCCTGTGCCTCAAAATCCAAACTACCAATAAATACACACAATTTTTTATCTTGTTTCTAATATTATAATAATGTAAATTGTTAATATGTTGTTATTATTATATTATCATTTGTTGAAAATGTACCTGTGGATTTGCTACAGAGTCTACACGAATATGTTTGTCCATAAAAATTTTGGCATTCATCAATAAAGAATCTTCAACAGAAGATTTCTCTTTATATAAAATATATGCATTGAGTATATCACGTTTTGGATGTAATTTTTTTGTAATGAATGAAATTTTACGAGGAAGAGGTTCAGAAAATGCCTTTTGATAAATTTTTTTGAAAATATAATAATTAAAAATTAGAAATGAGAAGAGAAGTATCTCAAATTGTTCTCTTGGAAAAAAAAAGATTATACTTACAATTGATCGAAAACGAATACTTTCAATTTTACCAAATATAGAAAATTGAGATTTTAATTTTTTAAAATTTTCCTAAATTTTAATTAAGAGTTTAGAAATATTAAAATACTATATATTTATATGAAAAAGAAATTACCTTTTGAATAACAGAAACCGGTAAATTTCCAATAAAGATGGTTCGTTCTGATTGTTCTGGGTCATTTTTATTAATTGGTTTTGATAGTGGTTCTACAATATCCTTTTCTTCTTCACTAATCCTTTGCATAGCTAGGAATTTGTGGGACCCAAGATGTAATTCAGCAAAGAAGCTATGACATGGCTAATCGATGCTCTCTTTGCATTGAAATATTCATTTTTGAATTTCGGCAAAAGGAAAACAATCATGATACCAGCATGGCTAAGAAAGTTTTTATCAGCAAATGATTGCTGTGCCACGGAACCAATTTCAATCACATGACAAAATGACCAATGGTTGAAAAATAAAAATAATGAATTTTTTATTAATTCAAATTAAATTAAAATGTTTATGTAAAGAATAAAATCTAAACCGTTTTTTTTTTAATTGAGGACTAGGTTAAATTAGATAGTAAAAAAACACGAATATCATTACCAAAAATGCCTTATATATATAATAAAGATATTCTCTACATACAATCAAAATCATTACCAGGCTTTTTTTTTTTTCTATTGGTTTTTTTATTACTAATTTTTACTTTTGTGGTTGTGTCTTTACCATCTTTATCAACATCCTTTTCAGGATCTATTCCTTTTTCAGGAACCCATTCAGCAACCCACACAGATTCTTGACTGTTTTCATCATTTCCGTATTCACCGTATTCACTAGTTCCTTGTCCACCATCATTTTCTAGGTCGTCAATATCTTGATTTTCACTATTTTCAATTTTACTATCTTCATTTCCACCACAGACTCCTCCTTTTATAATTTGATTGTCAACATCACTCGCTTCTCCATCTTCATTTTCGTTTTTATTTTTATTATTATCATCATTTACATTATCATCCAGAGGTTGATCATTATTATGATCACTGTCGGTTGAATTTTGACGCTTTTCTGGATCGTTGTTACAATCATTGCTAGCTGAATTTTGACGCTTGTTTGAGTCCCTGTTACGATCACTGTTAGCCGAATTTTGACGCTTGTTTGGATTCTTGTCGTGATCACTGTTAGCCGAATTTTGACGCTTATTTGGATCCTTGTTGTGATCACTGTTAGCTGAATTTTGACTTGGTGTTGAAGAGGATGGTGGGGGTAATATTTTATTAAATATACCCTTGATATTACCTCCGATTAAACTTGAATTTTCTTGTAGTTCATCATTCAAAGGCGGATGATCTTCTGCTGTAGGCGATGGTGGTGCTATAGATCGAGGGAAAACTTTTGCATGAATGCAAACTTTACTTTTACTCGAATCATTCAATTCCGTTCCAATCAAAGGAAAATAACAAATATCCACAACATAATCATCCAAACAATCATCATCCCATTGTCCTTTCATAAATAGAGGATTTATTTTTACATCTTTTTCAAACCAGAGTGTCTCACATTTTGGTTCTTGAACTAATAATCGAAATTTAAATATCCTAAAAACATCTTTGATAAGATTTTCTGCCATATTTTCTACATTCTTTCTTTTAGTATCATTTTTGATATAACGATATCCTGCCATTAATTGATTAAGTTCTAATGCTGTGGATGATATGAATGGATGCATATATTGTTTTTTATTATTTTCACAAGTCTCTGAGAATCCAAATTCACCTAATATACCATAAACTTGTTGACGTATCTTTGTTGGAATAGCTTTAATCACATTATTATCTTGTTCAAAATGATTATTATAAAATTTATCAAGGAGAAATATTAATTCATTTGTATGATTCATTATATATTTTTCCTGATTATTGGGATTATTTGTATCATCATCTTCTGTAATATCAAGATAATTATCAATATATTCAAGAATTTTTTCTAAAATATGACGTTGTAAAACTGATTTCATCAAAATTTTATTATTTTTATGTTGATGTATATCTAAATTATATTTTCCATACAATTCTTGAATTTTATCATTATCAATTTCTATAAAAGAACCTTTTAAAGCTGTGACGTATTTTTCAAGTCTATCCTGTAGAGAAGCTATATCAGTTGAAAGTTGAACTGAATTATTCAAATGGACATTTAATGCATCACCTAAAGCTGATTGATATGACGAAGCTTCTTTTCTTAATTTGTCGTTTGTAGTTCTTAATTCTTGATTTGATTTTTCTATGGCTTCAATCATAAAAACTTTGCTACGAATATCTGTTTCAAGCTCAATAATTTTTTCGTCGGGATAATCTTTATCCAAGTTGTTATTAATTCTTTTTTTGTCTAAATTAAGTTTTTCATTTTCTGCTTTTAAATCTCTGATTATCGCACTGTAATGTCTCTCGGCTTCTTTTTGATATTGAAATAATTTATCGTTATATTCTATTTTTAAATCTTTAAAAATATTTTCATATCTAGACAAATCTTGATTCAAAGTATAGATTTCTTCTTTGTATTTTGGTTCAATTTCTTTTTGATATTTAGTAAAATTAGCAAAATAGAAATCTTTCTCTTGGGATATAACTACCTTCTCCTCTTTTAATTTTCTAATGTTTTTATTGTAAGCTGGTTCAAGGATGTCTTGATATCTGGTTAAATTAAACTTATAGTCTTCTTTTTCTGTTTCTAAATCTTCATTTTTTTTTAACAAATCAATGTATTTTTGATAGTAATCGATGTTTTGTGAGTATTTGTTTTCAGTATTTTCTTGATCTAGGCAAGTTAATCATTTTCAAATTGAGTTATTTCATTCCAAAGTATTCAAATATTATTTATTGTATTTACTTTGCAAAAATAAAAAAAAAATAAAAACAAGTACTTACTTATATCCACTAATCCATCTATAAGTCCAGACGTAGTCATTTATAAATCATATAAAATTCTGCGCAACGAGGAGAAATAATTAGCGAGCTGATCTTTTGTGGTGTGCAACATTTCAAATCCGGCTGTAATATTATTGAACAATCAGTCCCTCCATAAATGCACCCCCTTGGGACCGAGGGACAGCGTGCATTTATGGAGGGTGTGCATTTATGAAGAGAAGCGATTTCATTGGTTGCACGTGATACACATTATTTTAAATTAAAATAACTATCCGCTTGATGATCAACAGCCATTGATGCCTATATATTAATAAGATATTTGGTCAATCATGGAAAATCATATCATCATTGTACACCACCATCTTGGAATGTTCTAGTAAAATTTTTTTACGTGAGAAAACCGCTAGTTCAATCTAGAATTATTTAAAAAAGGTTTATAATAAATATTTTTGTTGCTTATTTTGTTAACAAATATTTTCATTATTTTTTTTTAATTCAAATTATTCAAACGAATTTAATATTTAAAACAAAAATGGGAAAGGATTATTATAAAATTTTGGAAGTTGACAAGAAGGCCGACGAAGAAACTCTTAAAAAAGCTTATAAAAAATTAGGCAAGTATTATTTATTGATGGATTCGGATTCCAAAAATTGCAAAAAAAAATACTCATTTATTTACTTTATAAATAATAGCACTTAAATGGCATCCAGACAGACATCAAAATGATAAAGAGCAAGCAGAAATCAAGTTCAAAGAGATAAGTGAAGCTTATGAAGTATTAAGCGATAAACAAAAAAGGGAGATTTATGATATATATGGTGAAGAAGGTCTAAAAGGTGGCGCTCCACCATCATCAAATGGTGGAGGTGGTGGTGGTTTTAGTGGCACATTCCCAGGTGGTTTTCCAGGAGGCCAAACATTCACATTCACTTCAACAGGTAAATATATGTTTTTTTTGCTTCTGATGACAAAGATTTTTGTTTTAGAATCAAACTCGTCGATACTTATTTATTTAAATTAATACAGGAGGACAAGGCGGGTTTAAACCATCAGATCCTACTTTCATATTTAATGATTTCTTTAAAAGCTTTGGTGGAAATGATGAATTTCCATTTCCTGGGTTTGGTGGTGGCAGAGGCACAAGGTTTGGCAATAAAAGATCAGCAGATATGAGTGATTTCTTTGGTAAAGGGCGTGGTGATGGCTCAGAAACACCAGAAGTTAAATATACAATTTCATTAACACTTGAAGAAATATACAAAGGTACTATCAAAAAACTTAAAGTCACTCGAAAGATAATTGATGGTCCAACTGGTAAACAAGTACCAACTGACAAAATTTTGGAAATCAATGTGAGACCTGGCTTGAAAGCTGGTACAAAATTCAGATTCCCAAATTCAGGTGATGAATTACCAACTGGTGGGTCACAAGACATTGTTGTGATCTTGGAAGAAAAGCCTCATCCAATATTCACAAGGAATGGTGATGATTTATCAGTAAAAATCACATTAACTTTACTTGAAGCTCTTACAGGCTTCAAGAAAACCATACAAACTTTAGATGGTAGAACATTGGCAATATCTAATTACATTAGTGTTATAAAACCTGGTCAAGAACAAAGATTTGCAAATGAAGGTATGCCAACTAAAGAACCAACAAAAAAAGGCGATTTATTAATAAAATATGATGTTAAATTCCCTAACAAATTAACTGATCAACAAAAACAAGAACTCAAGAAGGTTTTAGCGGGAGTTTCATAGACATTTATTTATAATAATTAATCTATTATAATATTATTTAATTATTATATATAGTTATTTTTATATCACCCTTTCTTTTTTTTTTATATAAAATTATCATTGCTTTAACTATCAAATTTTTCTGATAATAAATAGAGCATTATAAACATTATATAAACATGATATTCTAAGATGTAATTAATATTTTCATTACACACACACATGTGTCAAAAAATATATTAACATTTATTTTAAAGAATTCTATTTAATGATGAGGTTAGCTACTAACACTTAATTTTTATACAAATCCAGAAGAGGTATACAACTATTTTCTTCGAATGATGATTTTAAAAATAAAAATTATTAAAACTAGTATTAATTATTTTGTAGCTCATAATGACAGTTAATTACAAAATGGATAAACCAATGAAAGTGAATTTTACCAGAGTTTTTTTCACCTCATATAACATTAAACAGTCACTGTTATTGTGTACAAAGTGCAGTAATTAAGGGCATTTTTTTAAAAAAAAGAGTTTAAAGACTTTGAGGAGGTTGATGAATTAATTATTAAAGCAAAGCCTGATGGTGATGATGACGGGCCACCAACCCTGCTCTGAATTATGACCTCCTGTGCTTGGAACGAGTTGCAGATTCTCTTGATATTCCTCCAGAGTTGCAACTTGATCACAGTGCCATCCTTGCCCTAGAGTAGGCAACTTTCCGGCCAGCATGCCAGCGGCAATCTCTGGTCTGGGAAGATTAGTGAAAACATCCATGACGATCGATGCAGTCTTGGTAAATTCCAAAGCCACGCAATACCCTTGGAATTCTGTTGCATCATTGTATCATCGATCAATCAGGTCAGATTAGCCTTTTGAACACGTGGAACATGAGAGAATGACTGTAAAGTTCAAGATAGCATGCATGCTTCAACACCCAATAATTAATCATCACATTAAATTGTTTCATACTTGAATTGTTTCTTCTGTAATAGTCAGTCATGCTGCCTTGATATCTTGTAATTATATATTAATAATAGTATTATTATTACAATTACGCAAAGCAAAATATTATCAATGAAAATCTTGTAATTACCCAGCAAGATCTGATTCCAATTAAAATATTTATAAGCTAAAATAAAAGACACCCCATACATATCAATACAAATAAAAAAAAGTACATCTGGTTAGTTATTAACATGTTTTCTTTAGGAGACCCAAACCAAACCAAACCAAACAACAACACTCACGTTTTGTCACCTTGGACTCTGTCAAAAAATAAATTGTTTTTTGTTTTTCCAAAAAAAAAAATAATTAATATGTATGTGTCGATCAAATCACAAGCATCTTTTTTTTATTTTTATTTCATAAACATGTCATTTGAAAAAACAAGAAAAGAATTCGTTGTTGATGTTGCGGGTAAGTGTTTTAAGGATGGCGGTGGTTATTGCCCACCACTCATCATTACTCTAGTTTATTTATAGTATTCAGTTATGGGACATGAAGAATTACGAAAATAAAGATGTTTCAGTTAACCAAGGAACATGGAAAGTGGAGGGTCTAGTAAATATGATCCAAAACTTGGTTAATCAAATTGTTATTGCATTAAATAACAAAACAAAATCAAAGCAAGACAATATTGGTATGTAAACAAAACTGATACAATTTCATCGATAGAATGCTAACTTGATGATAATTTTTAGGGCAGAACGTACCTTATTTGCTTCTTTTAGAAGAAAAAATGATAAAAATATAGTATGGTTTTGGAATTGAAATACACATTTGTTTAAACCTGAATCTAAATAATAAATCTGACTAATTTTATATTTGATCCAAATAGTCTACTACATACCTTATCAAAGGGTCAAACCAAAAGAGGACATCTGGTGGATTATAATTTTACATTTCGGATAAATGAAAGTATATTGGAAGTTTTTATTTGTGAATTTGCAGGTGGTCCATGGATGAAGGTAAAAGAAAATTTGAATCAGACACATTTAAGCCTTGTCGTGAGTTGAAAGATGCATATCATAACTTGATTTACCATTTTATTTAAGCACCAAGTTGTTTGACAGATGAAATTGTTAGTCTAATGATTAATCTAAGAGTATATGGAGGAATTTCAAATGGTATGTTTTATACTTTTTAACAATTTAATCTTAATTTCAGTTTCACATTTAAAAATATCATTCTAAATACTCAGAATTCCAATTTGTGATTTATGCATTTGGTATAGAAAATGGAGTTCCATGGTGTTAGAAATTTAGTCAATCATAATTTTGCTTGACTTTTGAAAGCAATTGGATGTTTTTCTGAAGTAACTTCCTATAGTATTCCAAAATGTTGGAATGAATCTAAAAATTTAAAAAACATGATAGAACATTGTTGGAGGTTTAAAGTTTTTTTTATTTGACTTTAATTCTTTTTTTTAATTTACGGTAACTAATAAAAATCTTCAAAATAAACCTTCAAGATACAATTGACCTCATTTTAAAAATTCAACGTAAATGTGAAGCCATGAAACTAAGCTCTGAAATTAGCAATAATGTTTCAAGTTATCTTCAATATTAGCAGAAATCAGATCTGGAAACTGTCTCTATTCTTCTACACCCATAAAAATAAATAAATAATACAGTATATTGTGAAAAAGTAAATCTGCAGATTGAAAAATGTACTGTGGTAATACCTGTACGTTTCATGTGTGTCTGAATAAAGTTAAAAGTTTATAAGTATAAAAATAAATAAAATGTGGATTGGAGTATGGAGGGTAGTTGTGGGGTTTTCCTGGAACATTGGGTCTGGACCACCCCCATGTATATTGTATGTGTGGTGGTAGGTCGCAGTTTAAAATACGGGTCCGTAAGTTAGATCAAGTTAGTTTTAATTTCTTCTAATATAAATGTATAGATATATGGGGCATGGACAAATAGAAAGGGACCAAACGTCAAAATCATGATTTTGAGAAAATCAAAAAAAAGATTTTGACCCAAAAAATTGGAAATTGCATATCATTTCTATATTCATGACAAAAATCAGGGGCTATTTTAATAACTATATATATAATAAAAAATAATAAATAATAATAATAATAAATAAATAATAAAATAATATGGGAGTTGGACTAGGAAA